CAGATATCGTCCTCTTTTGGAAGGCCAAACAAAGTAGTTTCGCTTTCACAACGAAACACACAGCGTCTCCATGACATGACGGCGGCGGCAACAACAATACTACAGCGAGAATAAAAGTTACGCCTTCTTTCTTTGCGTGAACATTTGGGCAGCGTTATGCAAATCTTCCCACACAATGACGTAGACATGTGGGGGCGTGTTAGAACGAGCTGTTTTAGATAGGTGTGGTTGACTCTTAACTTTTATAAAGAATATCTCTTTGGATTTAAGACTTTAGTCTTTGCAACTTTACAGATCTTCTTTATGCACCAAGAGCTTGTAACACTCCAAAGAGAAAGGAAAAATTGAAATCGCATCATATGACCCCTTTAATATCCTAATGACTTTTGGCATAAAAGAAAAATCGAAAATTTTGACCCATACAATGTATTGTTGGCTATTGCTACAAATATACCCCAGCGACTTAAGACTGGTTTTGTGGTCCAGGGTCACATATATTGTTTAGGTCAGATAATGTAACCATGAAAAAAAATATTCATGACTCAAAAATTATGATTTTTTTTTCGTGAAAACAAATGTCAACACAACAATTCCATTTCTTTGCCAACTGTATTATATTATATTATACTATACTATATTATATATTGTTTGGTGTAATTTGCTGTACCTGGTTAATACTGGACTACAGGGCTGTTCTCCTGGAGTGTATGCAGAGGAACGGTCTGTTTTCTTTATGGGGATTTGTAGGTTTTGAGCCGATGAAGATCTCCTCAGCTGGAGAAAGGGAGACCCCTAGTGGTGAGAAATGATACAGTCAGTGCCGCTTCTCTAAATTATCACCTTGAAATTTGAAAAAGTACCATACTGACACATCTATGTAATCTACCATATTTCTTTGATTGCAATTAATACCCATTCATAAGAAACTAATTCTAGATGTTTTTTGAGGGACGTCTGAAGGTTGATATTTTATAGATGCTAACCAGTCGTATAGTCTGCAGCGAGGGGGCTTTCTTCAGCTGGTGGTGGTGTCTGTGTGTGGGGCTGGGGGAGGTGGAGGGTGAAGTTGGCCGAGGCTTTTGGTTCAGGTTTGAGTTTGGTTTGGGGTGCAGGCTGAGCTGATCCATGCTGCTGGATCGTCCTTTTCGCAGCAACCCCACGCTGTTCAGCCCCATGGCGGAGAAGAACCGCCGCAGGGAGAGTTTGGGTCGACCCTCCCGCTGCTCTGCATCCGTCCCCGCTCTGAAAAACAGGGTTATTTCAGTATTTTCAGGTTATTTCAGTAGGTTTTTTGCTAATTTAATCTCCACACTGACAATATTACATGGTTTGGCATTTCTTTTTTGAATGAATAAATAAATAAATAAAAATGTAATAAATAAATAAATAATACTTTTAATAATTAATATGAATATATTTATTATAACAGTTAATAATTGTATAATAACAGAAAAACAAATCCCACTGACAAAAATGTGTTTGTTTTCCTTTTTGGCATAATTTATTAGTTTATTTTTTGTCATTTCATTAATTTAATTTTAAGGCAAAATTTTTATTTTGTGATGTCTGTATAAAAGTTAAATGTTAATATTATATATATATAAAAAATAACGCGATTAAAATATTTTAATGCAGTTAACGCACTGGCCCCGCCCCCAGACCTATACGTCATCCTACAGTCCATGCGGTTGACTGATGACAAATATGATGCAGGGCAACAACTCCATAAATGCAGTTATGCCCTCGTGCAAAAAATGCCTCTTTATGTGTTTTTGTCTCATATTTATATCATACAACATCGCTATCACACAAGCAGGGAGAGCAGTAGGCTACTACACGAGTGCTGTTTTTGACCCGAATATCACGAGTTTAAATGCGATTTTATACAACAGTTCAGTAAGAAGTTGATATTGTGATATATTTTAAACAATATTATGTGTTTTTGCTCAATTTTGCAAAGAATATATTACCGTTAAAGCCACAGCAGAATTGTTGTGCGTCTTCGAGCAACACAGCGGTGTTTAGGTTCTGAATTAATCCGCGTTTTGAACAAATCGTGTGAACCAGTGATTCAAAGACCCATTCATAAAGAGAGCTGTTTACTTCATTACTGAATGAATCAGCCGTTTGAACAATCGACTGAAGACATTTACCGCCACCTGCTGGCAGATTTAGTTTCTTATTTAGAGTATCATTTAATTAATAATAATAATAAAAATAATAATAATAAAAACATTAAAGGGATAGTTCACCCAAAATTTTTTAATTCTGTCATCATTTACTCACTCTCATGTCGTTTCAAACCTTTCTTTTGTGGAACATAAAGGAAGGTATTTGGAAGACTGTTGGTACAAATCTGTTTTGGTTACCAATGACTTTCATTGTATGAACAAATAATACTGAGATGTTTCTCAAATTATCTTCTTTTATGTTCCATAGTTTATGTTAGGCCGTTGTAGCCTAAATGTTTATATGTAATAAATTTTTTTGTAGAATCAAATAAAATATTTCTAAAGCTACAATTTGTAATGTCTACTTGATACTTTCTCATTTAACAAAAATATCTTTAAATAACCTTTTGTGGATATTTTTCTTAGATTAATTAATCGAAACATCATGTAATTAATTAGATTAAAAATTTTAATCGACTGATAGCCCTAGAAATAATATATTACTGTTTGTTATATTATTACTACTGCAACTACTACACTGACTTAATTTTAAATAATAATAATAATAATAATAATAATAATAATAAAAAATACAAGCCTGTTTATATGAACACTTTTGTTATGTTATTATTTCACTTTTTAATTATTTTAATTTTAATATAGTAATAAAAATAATACATTACTGTTTTATTTTATTATTACTACTACTACTGCATTGACTTAATTTTAAATAATAATAATAAATACAAACATGTCTATTAACACTTTTGTTATTGTATTATTTTACTTTTTAATGATTTTAATTTTAATATAGTAATACAAATAATACATTACTGTTTTGTTATATTATTATTATTATTACTACTAATATTACTGCTGCTATAACTACATTGATCATTTAGAATAAGAATAAGAATAATGTATCAGAATGAATGATCTTCAAGGTATTCAAGGACAAAAAGTGTGAGGAGAATAAAACAACATTAGTCTGTTACTACATGCAGGACTAACAATTAACGCTGAAATGTCAGATGTACTGAAACCGCAGAGATAGAGGCGCGGGCTGCCAAAGTCATTGGATTCTCAAGGACACTGCGGCGAAAGAGTG